CATATTCTTTTTCCTTTAAACAAAGACACTGGGCTCCTTGTGTTTGTAACATGATGCCAAGTCTGTAATGCTCGTTCGTAAAACTTAGCCACGACTTGATAACATTTTCACTAGTCGATTTATTATTGCGAATCATTTAACGTGCAAAGGAACTTTACTTTTAAGCTATTTAAGCCCCAAGGTAAGATGCTGCCTCGGTGTCATTTTTAGCGCACTCGGCTTGCAATCCAGAGGTGTCTGGTTGATTCAATTTCCCGGCACGGCATTCGAAGCAAGGCTGGCACGGCCCGGTTTTATTCATTCGGGTTTTAATCGTTTTTTATATAAAACCGGGAGCACCTGGATCCTGCCCAAATCCGGTTTTATTCGGTTTTATTAAAGTTAAGTCGGGATTTCAGTCGCACGCACCCCGTTAGCGGCGTTCCGGCCGGGGCCCGGGCTCCAGAAGATGAGCCATCAAACTGTTCAGCGTGGCCACGTCGACCGCCGCTGCTGCTGCTGCGTCTGAGCGAAACTTCTCGACGCTGGGATTTATCCATTCCAAGTTGAGGAACAGCCTGGCGCCCAGCACAGTCGAGAAGCTCGTCTTCGTCAAGTCGAACCTCAACGCCTTCCACGACTACCCGACGCCCGACGACGGCGACAACACCGAGTCCAGCAGCGAGAGCGACGACGAGGAGGAGGAGGATTAAAGTGTGCACGAGACGCCGATAATAAAACCAGGTTTTAATCGGCAAAATCGGGTTTAATTCCATTAAAAACCAATAACCCGATTTGTCGGGCAAAAAAAAAATCGGGTTTTTCCCACCCTTGATTCGAAGTAATAGTTACAGTTCCTTAACCCCCCCCTCCCCGCCTCTGTCCCCCAGCAGTATAAATAGTTACACCACAGTCGCGGGGTAATCCCACCTCATCCAAGATGTTTGATCAGCCAAATACCCCGTGGAGAGGGGCTGTCTAGAGCTCCCTCTCGTGGAGGCCTTTCCACGAGCAGTGACCGTTAGAGCATGCAGTTGCAGGGACGCACCTCTGCCGTTACCTTCTTAGCCGTGGTAACGTAGCGTGTCACTTTGATGTCACCATCTTACAAGGGGGGGGGGGTGTGGGGGCATTTGCGTTGCAAGTTAGCCGCCTTTCCTGGCGACGGAGCTTCGTCAGCGGGCCCTGTGCATCGCGCCCGCCGGGAAGGCACGCGTGGAAAAGGAAGGCACGCGTGGGAGGCTGGGAGTGAAAGGTTTCAGTGGAAATTGCTCCGAGCGAGCTAGCGGCGAGCAGAAGCGCAAGGCGCGGGGGGAAAGGCGTGCTGTGGACGTGCTGTGACCGTGCTGTGGCCGTGCCGTGGCCGTGCTGTGCGGTGCAAACTCGAGATGAGTGGTGCACAACAACAACAACAAAAAGAGATGCTTATCAGGTTTTTTTTATCGTCTTCAATTTTTCACACACATAAAACAAGTACTGCACAGTATTGCCCCTTAAAAAAATAATACACAGAATTATCACGTTCGTAAGTAAATATACACGAGGCTTAGCTGACCGCCCTGCTTCGTGGTTTAATCGTGATTATGTACTCATAACTAAATTATCTCTTTGTTTTAACGAATTGGTCGATGGAGTACTGGAATACGCTACATGTATTTATTAATTCATAAGAAATCACGACTCCGGGACTTGCATCCGATATGTAGCGTTTAGAGACACTCCATGGAGCCAATTACAGTTTGACCATTGACCCAATTTGCACCACATTTGGAACTCCACGCAATCTCAGAGTCCGCAGCAGGTATAAAATGCCTGGCTTCATTAAACTGGCCAGTTATTCCAGTGGGAATTTTTTTAAAATGAAATTCGGCTTGTATATGCAGCATGTATGTCGAACTTTTTTCGCAGCGTATTTAGCCATCCGTGCTAATCAGTTAGAAAGAAAATAGTTTTCAGTTTCGAATGTAGGCCTAAATAGGTCCAACGTTGAAGCTAGCTTTGGCTTGCAGGTGGTTTAATGAAATGCTGGAGATGTTTTTGAGCGGAAGAGCTGCAACGAAGAGAGAGAGAGCATTTTCGCAAAAAGCTAGTTTCTGCTGACACGGGGATATCCGATGCACAGATGAGACATCTCACGGGGGAAATCATCGCCACGCACACACAGCAAACGCTTCTCCATCCCCTTCATAGCAGCAGCGTGTCGTCCACAACGTCACCATTGTGACTCAAAGTTAAGAGGCGAACTCTTGTTTGAATGAGCATCGAGGCGTTGCTCATTTCCTACTCGTGGCTCTGATCCAGTGGTGGAAATTCCATTTTACCGTGACGGGAGTAAATCTCATCCCCAGCACGAACAGTTTCACTTCCCCGCAAAATGGTGCTTATTGTTGTTTGAGAAATAACACATTACGTTGGTGCCATAATAGTTCTAACCAGTGTATGAAGCCTCTGAGAATTCACTCCTGGATGCCATGGGAGTTACTTTACCATACCTCACGATGCTGGTCAGTGTGGGTAGCACTTGCCACCATTCGCCGTGGACAGAAGTTCAACTCAGGTTGCCAGATTTACAGAGCATTGTGTGGACCGCATTTCCGGACCCAGTCGTTCACCCCATGTGCTATGAATATGCTCCCTGTGTCTTTAACATACGAGATCAGGTAGTGTCAGTCTAAGCCAAATCTAAACATGTGTTACTTTTGAAACTACTTTTTATTACTCTACTTTTTTTTATGGAACTGTGTTCACTTAGCAATTTATTTGCTTCCATTTCTTGCCTTCTGTCATATGGAATTAATTTAAGAGGACTGCAGGGTGCCCCAGTTAATTGGATATTTAGGGAAACAAAGTTAATTTAAACCCCAGGAATGTGCTGTATAAAACATTGCATTAAACTACTGTAGCTGTGGAGGCTGAGGTCCTTTGCACTGTGCCTGAGAGGAATTTAAACAGGAAGTTTTCCAAGGAAGAAAAAAAAAAGAATCTGCATCTGGCTTTTGAGATTTTCACAGTCTCGATGTTCGTTGGAAATCATTGGGGTGACATAAAGCAGAAGGAGTACAGTTTTCAGCTTTGTGGTGGTGCAATGCAATGGATGGCACTTAAAGGGTTCGTACTTTCTAAAGTTAACTTTTTATTTCATTTTACCAAGTAGGGCCCAATGAGCTAAATGACTCTTTTTCTGAAGGGACCTGGCCACAAATGACAGCTCTACGAAGTGGGGTTCAGACCATGCCTGCGGCATAGACATGCAACGTTAGAAATGTGCGCTTCAATTGCACGCAAACATCCCAAGTCTCAACCTCTTGTTCAAAAAGTAGCACAAAGATGTTCAGCACATGGCATGAGATCACATTCACTATCAATTAGTTGGCCCATGATCATTATTTGCCAGACTGTTGTTCATGGTCATGTGACGTGTTTAATAAGTCATGAGTTCACTGCATCGTCATGAATCAAAAATGTCAGTCATCATAATTAGAATCCCTTTATCATGAGCATTACCGATAGTCACCACTATTTCTTATTAAGCATTACACTTATGTACATGGCTGCCTTGGCAACTGCCTTGCTGGAACATCCCGGACAGACCCATTGTCATGCAGGTCTCATTCTAAGGCGGCAAGCGTGCGGTTGTGCGGTTGCTGTGCTAGGTGGTTGTTGTCGGGGCAAGTCGGGAATGTAAGAAGGCTGTAGTCACCACGTGTGAGGAGGCTAGGTGGTTGTTGTCGAGGGGGTGTAAGAAGGTTGTAGTCACCATGTGTGAGGAGGCTAGGTGGTTGTTGTCGGGGCAAGTCGGGAATGTAAGAAGGTTGTAGTCACCATGTGTGAGGAGGCTAGGTGGTTGTTGTCGAGGGGGTGTAAGAAGGCTGTAGTCACCATGTGTGAGGAGGCTAGGTGGTTGTTGTCGAGGGGGTGTAAGAAGGCTGTAGTCACCATGTGTGAGGAGGCTAGGTGGTTGTTGTCGAGGGGGTGTAAGAAGGCTGTAGTCACCATGTGTGAGGAGGCTAGGTGGTTGTTGTCGTGGGGGTGTAAGAAGGCTGTAGTCACCTTGTGTGAGGAGGCTAGGTGGTTGTTGTTGAGGGGGTGTAAGAAGGTTGTAGTCACCTTGTGTGAGGAGGCTAGGTGGTTGTTGTTGAGGGGGTGTAAGAAGGCTGTAGTCACCATGTGTGAGGAGGCTAGGTGGTTGTTGTTGAGGGGGTGTAAGAAGGCTGTAGTCACCTTGTGTGAGGAGGCTACGTGGTTGTTGTTGAGGGGGTGTAAGAAGGCTGTAGTCACCATGTGTGAGGAGGCGCGGTGGTTGTTGTCGAGGGGGTGTAAGAAGGTTGTAGTCACCATGTGTGAGGAGGCGCGGTGGTTGTTGTCGAGGGGGTGTAAGAAGTTTGTAGTCACCTTGTGTGAGGAGGCTAGGTGGTTGTTGTCGAGGGGGTGTAAGAAGGTTGTAGTCACCATGTGTGAGGAGGCTAGGTGGTTGTTGTTGAGGGGGTGTAAGAAGGTTGTAGTCACCTTGTGTGAGGAGGCTAGGTGGTTGTTGTCGAGGGGGTGTAAGAAGGCTGTAGTCACCATGTGTGAGGAGGCTAGGTGGTTGTTGTCGAGGGGGTGTAAGAAGGTTGTAGTCACCATGTGTGAGGAGGCTAGGTGGTTGTTGTTGAGGGGGTGTAAGAAGGTTGTAGTCACCATGTGTGAGGAGGCGCGGTGGTTGTTGTTGAGGGGGTGTAAGAAGGCTGTAGTCACCACGTGTGAGGAGGCTAGGTGGTTGTTGTCGAGGGGGTGTAAGAAGGCTGTAGTCACCATGTGTGAGGAGGCTAGGTGGTTGTTGTTGAGGGGGTGTAAGAAGGTTGTAGTCACCATGTGTGAGGAGGCTAGGTGGTTGTTGTCGAGGGGGTGTAAGAAGGTTGTAGTCACCATGTGTGAGGAGGCTAGGTGGTTGTTGTCGGGGCAAGTCGGGAATGTAAGAAGGCTGTAGTCACCACGTGTGAGGAGGCTAGGTGGTTGTTGTCGAGGGGGTGTAAGAAGGTTGTAGTCACCATGTGTGAGGAGGCTAGGTGGTTGTTGTCGAGGGGGTGTAAGAAGGTTGTAGTCACCATGTGTGAGGAGGCTAGGTGGTTGTTGTCGGGGCAAGTCGGGAATGTAAGAAGGCTGTAGTCACCACGTGTGAGGAGGCTAGGTGGTTGTTGTCGAGGGGGTGTAAGAAGGTTGTAGTCACCATGTGTGAGGAGGCTAGGTGGTTGTTGTCGGGGCAAGTCGGGAATGTAAGAAGGTTGTAGTCACCATGTGTGAGGAGGCTAGGTGGTTGTTGTCGAGGGGGTGTAAGAAGGCTGTAGTCACCATGTGTGAGGAGGCTAGGTGGTTGTTGTCGAGGGGGTGTAAGAAGGTTGTAGTCACCATGTGTGAGGAGGCTAGGTGGTTGTTGTTGAGGGGGTGTAAGAAGGTTGTAGTCACCATGTGTGAGGAGGCGCGGTGGTTGTTGTTGAGGGGGTGTAAGAAGGCTGTAGTCACCACGTGTGAGGAGGCTAGGTGGTTGTTGTCGAGGGGGTGTAAGAAGGCTGTAGTCACCATGTGTGAGGAGGCTAGGTGGTTGTTGTTGAGGGGGTGTAAGAAGGTTGTAGTCACCATGTGTGAGGAGGCAAGGTGGTTGTTGTCGAGGGGGTGTAAGAAGGTTGTAGTCACCATGTGTGAGGAGGCTAGGTGGTTGTTGTCGGGGCAAGTCGGGAATGTAAGAAGGTTGTAGTCACCATGTGTGAGGAGGCTAGGTGGTTGTTGTCGAGGGGGTGTAAGAAGGTTGTAGTCACCATGTGTGAGGAGGCTAGGTGGTTGTTGTCGGGGCAAGTCGGGAATGTAAGAAGGCTGTAGTCACCACGTGTGAGGAGGCTAGGTGGTTGTTGTCGAGGGGGTGTAAGAAGGTTGTAGTCACCATGTGTGAGGAGGCTAGGTGGTTGTTGTCGGGGCAAGTCGGGAATGTAAGAAGGTTGTAGTCACCATGTGTGAGGAGGCTAGGTGGTTGTTGTCGAGGGGGTGTAAGAAGGCTGTAGTCACCATGTGTGAGGAGGCTAGGTGGTTGTTGTCGAGGGGGTGTAAGAAGGCTGTAGTCACCATGTGTGAGGAGGCTAGGTGGTTGTTGTCGAGGGGGTGTAAGAAGGCTGTAGTCACCATGTGTGAGGAGGCTAGGTGGTTGTTGTCGTGGGGGTGTAAGAAGGCTGTAGTCACCTTGTGTGAGGAGGCTAGGTGGTTGTTGTTGAGGGGGTGTAAGAAGGCTGTAGTCACCATGTGTGAGGAGGCTAGGTGGTTGTTGTTGAGGGGGTGTAAGAAGGTTGTAGTCACCATGTGTGAGGAGGCGCGGTGGTTGTTGTTGAGGGGGTGTAAGAAGGCTGTAGTCACCACGTGTGAGGAGGCTAGGTGGTTGTTGTCGAGGGGGTGTAAGAAGGCTGTAGTCACCATGTGTGAGGAGGCTAGGTGGTTGTTGTTGAGGGGGTGTAAGAAGGTTGTAGTCACCATGTGTGAGGAGGCTAGGTGGTTGTTGTCGAGGGGGTGTAAGAAGGTTGTAGTCACCATGTGTGAGGAGGCTAGGTGGTTGTTGTCGGGGCAAGTCGGGAATGTAAGAAGGCTGTAGTCACCACGTGTGAGGAGGCTAGGTGGTTGTTGTCGAGGGGGTGTAAGAAGGCTGTAGTCACCATGTGTGAGGAGGCTAGGTGGTTGTTGTCGGGGCAAGTCGGGAATGTAAGAAGGTTGTAGTCACCATGTGTGAGGAGGCTAGGTGGTTGTTGTCGAGGGGGTGTAAGAAGGCTGTAGTCACCATGTGTGAGGAGGCTAGGTGGTTGTTGTCGAGGGGGTGTAAGAAGGCTGTAGTCACCATGTGTGAGGAGGCTAGGTGGTTGTTGTCGAGGGGGTGTAAGAAGGCTGTAGTCACCATGTGTGAGGAGGCTAGGTGGTTGTTGTCGTGGGGGTGTAAGAAGGCTGTAGTCACCTTGTGTGAGGAGGCTAGGTGGTTGTTGTTGAGGGGGTGTAAGAAGGCTGTAGTCACCATGTGTGAGGAGGCTAGGTGGTTGTTGTTGAGGGGGTGTAAGAAGGTTGTAGTCACCTTGTGTGAGGAGGCTAGGTGGTTGTTGTTGAGGGGGTGTAAGAAGGCTGTAGTCACCATGTGTGAGGAGGCTAGGTGGTTGTTGTTGAGGGGGTGTAAGAAGGCTGTAGTCACCTTGTGTGAGGAGGCTACGTGGTTGTTGTTGAGGGGGTGTAAGAAGGCTGTAGTCACCATGTGTGAGGAGGCGCGGTGGTTGTTGTCGAGGGGGTGTAAGAAGTTTGTAGTCACCTTGTGTGAGGAGGCTAGGTGGTTGTTGTCGAGGGGGTGTAAGAAGGTTGTAGTCACCATGTGTGAGGAGGCTAGGTGGTTGTTGTTGAGGGGGTGTAAGAAGGCTGTAGTCACCACGTGTGAGGAGGCTAGGTGGTTGTTGTCGAGGGGGTGTAAGAAGGCTGTAGTCACCATGTGTGAGGAGGCTAGGTGGTTGTTGTCGAGGGGGTGTAAGAAGGCTGTAGTCACCATGTGTGAGGAGGCTAGGTGGTTGTTGTCGAGGGGGTGTAAGAAGGCTGTAGTCACCACGTGTGAGGAGGCTAGGTGGTTGTTGTCGAGGGTAGGCCTCGGCAAGGTAAGGTAATTTACCCTTTTAACCGGGTAAAAGGGTAAATGTATCGACATGTCAAGGGGTAAGGTAAAGGGTAGGGTAAAGGTAGCTCGGAAGAATTGCCCGGTAGGGTAAAGGTAGCGCGAAGTATTAACCCGGTAAATACGGTGCCTTGTTTACCGCTAAAAGCTCCGTGGCACAGTCCGTGGCCTCCATTTGACAAGTAATATTTTAAACACAACTTTTTTTTAAAACACGCTTTAATGAAATGTACCCTACTAGTAATGACAGAACTCCACGACTCCAGGAAGTGGCCCCGAAGCTTGCCACAACGTAATGGACCGTGGCCAATTACAGCCAACGTCAGTTGACAGTGGACAATTAGACCCAAGCCAAAACATAACATATGAAATTTTTTTATTTTTTTTATTTTTCATGATAGAATATAGTATTGTCATTAGTTTGAAATAAGTATACCAACTTTGCAGTCGATACCACATTGGGATGTGGGTTAAAATTGAGTTACAAGATTTGAGGATACGGCAGAGTGACTTAAAAGAAAGCGTGTAAAATTGGAATCATCGAGAGTATTCTAGATAAATAAAGCGCTCTACCTAGCATTTACCTGTTATAAACCTTGTTCATGTGTAGTACCCCAGTAATTACCCTGTAATCGGGTAATTTGTATGGGGTAAGGGTAAAAGGTAGGGTAAAGGTAGGCTCGTTGCTTTTAACCTTTCACCTTTTACCTTAGCTGCTGAAGGGTAAAAGGTAGGGTAGAGTGATTGTATTGTGGTAAGGTAAAAGGTAGGGTAAAGGTAGGCTCATTGTTTTTACCTTACCTTGCCGAGGCCTAGTCGAGGGGATGTAAGAAGGTTGTAGTCACGTGTTATATCCCCCTGACAACAATCACCGAGCCTCCTCACACGGAGGCTCGGTGGTTGTTGTCGAGGGGATGTAAGAAGGTTGTAGTCCATACCCTTAGCTCTTTCGGTAAAGTCATGTTGAAGGGAAACAATAAAATAATAAAATATATATTAAACAATAAAAATTATCATGATGTTTCGACCATAACGCAAACGGTCATCATCAGGTGTGAAAAAAAACCAACGGCAAGAAACATTTTAAAGAAGTGGTGGTTCGCATTTATTTATTTATTTTTGGGCGGTGCATTTATTTAGTAAAAAAAACCGTTAGCGCCACGGACAGCGATTTGGCAGTTTGTTGAGAAGGACGAGTCCATCTATGTTCTGTAAAGAGGAGGGGGGAGACGAAAACTTAATGTATGCTGTCTGAAAGCCACCGTAATCGTGAACAATCAATTAAGACCTGAAATGGTTTATCAAATCCTTCCAATGATTGCTAAGCCAGAATCCATCTTCTCGTTTGAAATTGTCTCTGTGCTTGTATATGTGGATAGCCTCATGAACGAATCTCTCATGGTAGCCAGATGGCTTACAAAGAACCTCTGCCTTGGAGAAGTCAATGTTATGTGAGCCTACTGAATTATAACAATGATCTGCCATGGCCGAGGTGTTGGTCCTACCGTGTTTAAGGCCTGCTTTGTGTTCATGAATGCGGTCCGAGACATGGCGTTTGGTTTCTTAAATGTAACTACTACCACAGAGGCAACTTAGTTTGTAGACACCAGGGTACTGTATGTCCGGAATCACATCTTTTACAGACGGAACCAGATCACGGATTTTATGTAATGTGTTGAAACGGCCGTGGCAGATCATTGTTACAATTCAGTAGGCTCACATGACATTGACTTTTCCAAGGCAGAGGTTCTTTGTAAGCCATCTGGCTACCATGAGAGATTCATTCATGAGGCTATCCACATATACAAACACAGAGACAATTTCAACCGAGAAGATGGATTCTGGCTTAGCAATCATTGGAAGGATTTGATAAACCATTTCAGGTCTTAATTGATTCTTCACGCTTACAGTGGCTTTCAGACAGCATGCATTAATTTTTCGTCTCCCCCCTCCTCTTTTCAGAACATAGATGGACTCGTCCTTCTAAATAAACTGCCAAATCGCTGCCCGTGACGCTAACGTATTTTAATGAATAAATGAACACGCCGTTTAAAATAAATAAATAAATAGATTGCTGCAAACCGCCACTTCTTTCAAATGTTTCTTGCCGTTGGTTTTTTTCACACCTGATGATGACTGTTTGCGTTATGGTCGAAACGTCGTGAGAATTTTTATTGTTTTATATATATTTTATTATTTTATTGTTTCCCTTCAACGTGACTTTACCGAAAGAGCTAAGGGTATGGATTACTGCAGTCACGAAAGCTTTAAATCAAAATTTAAGGTTGTAGTCGCCATGTGTGAGGAGGCTCGTTGGTTGTTGTCGAGGGGATGTAAGAAGGTTGTAGTCACCATGTGTGAGGAAGTGTCAGTGGTTGTTGTCGAGGAGGTGTAAGAAGTGTGTAGTTGTCATGTGTGAAGAGGCTCCTGCGAGTGTTGTGTCGGTGGTGGGGGGGGTCGGTTGAATGGGCTTCATGTTGTGCACGGTGCCAGTTTAAATTTGGGGTTGGCCTGGGCAAAGAGGCTTCAAGGCTGAGTAGGGGGTGCGCTCTCTTCAGCGGGGGCAGGAGAGGCAGTCCCAGCAGCAGCTTGGGTCAATTTTCTGAAGAAGAAGAAGAAACTGGCTCAGAAGTTGGCCCCCTTTGTCCCCATGTGCCTTGCGAACAGGGCCAGGTATTGGGTGCATTGGTAAAGGATCTCAATAATTTCACTCTGAGATACAGTGCCTGTATTGCATGTATGGGTTTTACTATTATTCCCTGTGCCTTACAGTTTGTACCTTTGAGAAAGTTTAACATAATCAGTGAACAAGCAATGCTCGTGTCGTTTTTTTGTGATGGGTTAAATGGAGGGTGGGCTTATGAGGCCTGTGGAATGGTGATGAGGGATGCAGACTGTAGGATGGTGATGATGTACGTTGAGATTGATCCGTTAGGCTGGTAGACCGTAGCAAGAACACAATAGATATTACTGTAATATGCCAAGGGGCAGTATTTCCCAGCAGGAAACATGTTTCCTAATTTAAAAAAATCAAAGCCTTTCCTAGCTCAATCCCTCTCGTCCTCCTTCTACTCCATATACACATTCTCCATATGTATACCCGTACACCACGTGGTTGTCGTAATAATGCCCGTACACCACGTGGTTGTCGTCATAATGCCCGTACACCACGTGGTTGTCGTAATAATGCCCGTACACCACGTGGTTGTCGTAATAATGCCCGTACACCACGTGGTTGTCGTAATAATGCCCGTACACCACGTGGTTGTCGTAATAATGCCCGTACACCACGTGGTTGTCGTAATAATGCCCGTACATCACGTGGTTGTTGTAATAATGCCCGTACACCACGTGGTTGTCGTAATAATGCCCGTACACCACGTGGTTGTCGTAATAATGCCCGTACATCACGTGGTTGTTGTAATAATGCCCGTACATCACGTGGTTGTTGTAATAATGCCCGTACATCACGTGGTTGTCGTAATAATGCCCGTACATCACGTGGTTGTCGTAATAATGCCCGTACACCACGTGGTTGTTGTAATAATGCCCGAGTGTTCGCATGTTTGTGGTTGTTCTATAATTACAAATTCGCTGTTGGAACACGCAGGACAATCTGTATTTACAGCATGAAACATAGTCTAAGGCTTGACATTTTGCAAAGGCTCAATGTATTTCTAAATGTTTGGGTGGAGTACGTTTCAAAGCCAGGATTTTTACAATGGTCTTGATTGATGAGGAGCATATCTGTTTTAATGCTTTCCAACCACATTTGACAGCATCAATGCATCATCTTTGTCCGTCTGTCTGTAACGTGGGGTCATGAGATTACTCTCGGAAAGGTTATCTAATTTAAATGACATGCGAGCATTAACGTCGTGTTGCTGATAGGAACGTATCCTTAAGAAACTGGACACATTGATCAAAGACTCGTCCAAAAACTTGCCATGGTATTTATTTGCGTCTATGAAACAAACAAAAAACCCCCATCAAATTACTTAGTTATTTGTGACTGTAGGTATCTCGAAGGACCGTCAAATTACAAAGCTCATGGTAACACGGGTTTAGGCTGCGAGTCCTCCTCTGCTCACCAACCACTGCCCTGCGATGGCATGACGATGTGGGCATGACTCAAGACCTTAGGCGGCGCCTCCATGTGCACGAAGCGCACAGTCCTCCAGCTCGTATGGCCTTCCCATGATGCGCTTGTGTCTCGGGGGTTTTCACGAGCTGTGTTTTACTTGGCCGTGGTCTTTACCGTCCTGGCCTTCACAATAATGACCGTTTTGCTCGCTGGAAGCAAATGGCGAGTGCTGTGGTGCGTGTCTGTCGAGTGAGAAAAAAGTTGTGTCTGGAATAACCATTTGCATTGGCAATTGCCAAATCTGTTATACATTAAAGATATGTTTAACATCAGAAATATCATTTCGGACTACAAATGTGGCCGTTGCTGTTTGTGAAACCAAAAAAATATAAAAGGGCCTCTTGACTTAACAAGTTACCAAAACTATCTCTACCTTCCCGCCAAGCACATTCTCTCACCATGTACCCTTCCACCTTGATGACTTTGTTAGTGTAGCGCTGCATTTGGTCGGGGGTCGTTATTTCGCTGATGTTGCATTGTATGCAAATCCACACTTTTAAGACAACTGATGCGATTTGTGCTTTGTTTGAAAATTGCGAGCGGTGAGCAAAACCTCACCTGTTTCTACACCCTGGCAAGTTGCTAGTTCTTTCATGCATGCTAATTAGCCACCACACCAATTAGCACCCCAAGGGAGGCCTCTATTTAGTTTTGACACTTATTAAACTGACCCTGCCACCCTACGTAGTTGTGCTTTGCCGATCTCTTGTATGTACTGCACAAGTCTGTGGACTCCATCCTGCAACACCAGTGTGGTATTAAATCTCACCTCGTGTGCAACACAGTGTAAGCGATTCCCCCTGGAGTAGTGTGTACGTGGCATGGGCTGGGCCATATCCAAGGCTTGTGAGTGACA